GTATTTAAAACATTACTTTTTGTTATTCTTAACTTTTGATGCCAACCTAAACTCCATTCTGCCAGCCTAAGCTCCATTTCCGCTTTGGCCTTCCTCACTGCTTCCCTGCAAGCTCAAGCCAAGCAGGTATTACTCATCCTTGGTAGCTGCCCCCTGCCTCCACAGCCTGTAGGCCTCTCTCTTCCCATCCAGGCTCTCCTGGATTTCCCTGCTCAGCCAAGAGGGCTTCTTTGCTCTTTTGCCCCCCTTTAGGTGTACTGGGGTGGTCCCTTTCTGTGCCTGCAGGCTCAGTCCCTTGAGAAATGCCCAACCTTCCTAGACGTTACCTTGGTGCCCACTTGAGGCCCTAGAGAGCAGAGTAGGTCAAACCACCTCTGTACACAGCAGGTATTTAATTGTTAGTTTTGTTCTTTTTAATTCTTTTTTTTGTGGTTGAGACTTTTCCATACCAAATTTCAGTCCTTAAGATTAAGCCAGTCATTTGGCTTAAAAACTGGCTGTCTTTTTGTATGTCCATTGCTAACCAACATTCACAATATTTTTATGCGCTTCAGGCGGGGGCATGTCTCTGATACATCTGCCAGTTTCAGGTTAGCCACTTTCTACTTTTTGGAGCCTGAGGCACCAGATGAGAGATATAAAACACCTGGGTTCAGTTCCTAGACCTGACAGTGAAAATCTCTTCAGGTTCCCCCATGTGTAAAATGGGGAGATAATAATGGCAACCTAACTTGTAAAACATTTTAGGATCCATGGATATAAACTGTTCTAAAGAATGTACCAGATTAAGCTTCTTCTTAAAATGTTCTGGTGAGCTCAAGCTTTTCACCCATGGCTGTAAGGCCTGTGCGCCTACAGCAATGTCCTCTGAGACTAGTGAAACATAAACATGAAGGGAGCACTGCTGTTCTGTGGGGCATACTTCTAGGTTATGTTTGCCGTATGCTACATCTGTAGGATATCGTATCTGCTGTTTCCTACATATCCCACATATGTAGGAAACAGCAGAGATTGCTTCATCCTGCCTTGTAAGAGAGTGGCTGAGTGCTTAAAATAAGTTCTGTCTTTGCAAGTATCAATCAACATACTTTTTCTGTGCTTAGCTTCATTACACCTGACAGTGTGCATGCTGCCTGGCTAACTGCTATCAAGAGAAACTGTTCTTCAGAAGTACAGAATGTATTAATTAACAGTAGAAAAGACTCTAGGAGAGGTGCATACTTGACCAAATGGAAAGATTCACAATTGGTAGTGATAGGCCCAAATTATTACTTTGGTGGCTTAGATGCCTGCTGTTTTGAGCTATTATCACTGAATAGCTTCAGGCTGACTCAACTCTTAAAGAGTCCACCACAGCAACATTTAAGTAAAAATCCTCACCGTGGAGTTATGTAGTAGTCTCCCATCTGACAGCTGCTAGACCCTTAAGTTCTATGCACACACTTTTCCATAGTTAGGGATCATCCTCTTGAGATCCTGAAGTAGTGGTAGCAGGATGGCCCTAGTTTTTGAACCATTTGTGTACTCTCTTTTCTGTTTGTCCATTAAAAGTTTCTTTTTGAGGTAATAATGGGGTAGGACCAATACTGGCACTGAGTTCAATCATGGTATGCCATATTAGATAAGAACAAATTGATGCTTTGCCCTTATCTACTAGTCTGCAAATGTTCTATGACCCACCCTCCCCTGTTACTAAGGAGTCCTAGAACACCTGGATTTTCTACTAGCAAAAGAATAGAGATCTGGCTGGGCCCATGGGCAACTGGTGCCTCCTTGAGTCTGGGGAGGGCACCCAAAGAAGTCAGTGGCAGGGCCAGGGCTGGCAAGCACCCACAGAAGTTGCCTGCCACTGCTGGGATGGGGCTGGAGAGTATCCCCAGAAGCTGCCAGCAGCGGTGGGGACAGGGCTGGCGAGCACCCATGGAAACCACTGGCAGCGGCGGCAGCAAGGATGGGGCTGGTGAGCACCTGCAGAAGCTACTGGTGGTGGGGACGGGGCTGGCAAGCACCCCCAGAAGCCATTGGCAGCACGGATGGCCCTGTCGGGGGGCATGTGCCCCCCCCATGCCTCCCCACCAGTCACCTATGACTGGGCCTATGGGTGCTGCTGAGCAACAAAAAAAAAAAAGTGGTCAAGCATATGTTCCAGAAGTGGAAAACACATGGACAATACCTCTTGACAAGCAACAGTTAATGTAAAATAAGAAAGCATTGCTCTTGGACTCTGCCTGCAGGTCAGGTCTAGAAAGGAGGAGAGGATGATGCAAAGAATAATGGGGAGGAGGGCAGGGAAAAATGAGCTTATGTGGTTGGTGCCATGGACAGGATACACTTCCAGCATTATGCACTTCCATAATGCTGCCAACATTAATGGCTGTAACAGCCACGTAATCTTCCTGTTGGACAAGGAGACCGCAACAATCCTGGGAAGAAGCTTTTTGCCTTTCAGTGATGTGTTTGGGCTGTCATCTGTGAAAGAGCTGGAGACAGGTTTGTAGCAAACTGCCTTTATACCTGGTGAAAACTAAACAGTAATCACACTGGCAACATTACAGTCAATATCCTTCTGCAGGATGACACTAACACAGGGCTGTTGCCACCTCATCAGTCCTTAATTCTTCCCCAGCAATCATACATACACAAGTCTAAACATACGTTTAAAGACTACAGGACATACTTGGTTCTCATGTAGTGCACAGGTTGGATGCCCAAAGGTCCAGAACTAATATTATATGGACAAGTGCCTTATAATATAGCTTTTTTTGCCAAGGCAAATTTTGCACACTGTGAGGTGCTCAGCACCAATGAGGACCATGTCTCTTCTTTCAGCTGAGTTCTAGTCTTTTTCTCAGTACTCCTTGGTGGTTCTACTGTTCTTGTTGTTTAACTCTCTTTCACATCCTGACCTGCTCTTCTCTCATTTTGCTCTATTTCCTCCAAACTTTCCACTGGAGAAAAAGAGACCATTGAGAGATGAAGTGTGCAGTGCTCCGTGTCTGTCTTTTTTTCCCTACTTTTTTTCTGTCTAGTTGCCATGAAAACGCCACAACCCATTCCTTTGGTTCTGTTACAGGCATGAACTTAAAACCCTGGCTGATCAGGACATCTGTTCATCAGGTAAAAATTAATTCTGTTTCTTTATACTTCCTGATAAGCAGGGATTCTGGTTTTCACTGGTTAAACAAAATAAAATCTCAAATTTTCTGATTTAACCCCCCATCCACATTTTTCCATGATTAAAATGAAATGCCACTATCCAAGATAGATAGATAATGTTTTGTTTTAAACATAGAAAACATGGATTTTGTGGAGGGGGGTTAATCAGAAAATTTTGGATCCCTGCTGATAAGTGGCAGAAGAAATTAATTAATTAATTAATTAATTAATTATCCACCCCATTACTTCTTTGCCTCTTCCCTCTGTCTCCACTCGCCCACCCATCCCCATGCTGCTCTTGGAAAGGTGTATACCTGACCGATACACATGCACATTATGGCTAAAGAGTAGCAGCAGCTTTAACTGTTTTGGGGTGCCATTTTCCAAGGAAAACAACGTTTGGGAGGTGGCTGCTCCTTTTCAGTTTCATAGCATCTGTCAGCCTGTTCCCAGAATATATGAGTCAATATTAGACCAGCAGCCTGCTCTGGAGGAGTTGTACACAACAGCACACTTAAATATCAAAATACAGATTTGGACTGCAAAACACATCTGGAAACCATAGTTGAAATTCAGGTCGTCTTTGGACTTCACCTTTCTTTGGCAGAGCTCTGGTGCGCATGTCAAGCACCAAAGTATGTGATTTCACTCCATGAGTGTGCCTCAGGATGGTGTGTGTGTGGGAGGGGGAGCATATTCCAGGCACCCTGGAGATTAAATTGCCAGCTGACTCCCGTGACGAGACCTTTATGTCCCTACTTTTTCTCTCCCTCAGGAATACATGTTGACCTGCTCTAAAATCTAAGTGTACAGATACCATTGCTATTGTCTTTCTTACTAGAAAAAATCTGCCTGGGACTTTAATTTGAGGGGTTAATTTTGTCAGAAGCAGAACAGCATAACAATTGTTTAGCTCTTAACTTCATTCTGCTTTTTTCTGGTAAGAATAGAAGCTCCCAAACCACCAGGCTTTTCCCTATAGGAAAATCACTATGGAGGTATTAGAATATCCTCAGCTGGTGTTAACTAGCACAATTTTACTGATTGCAACAGTGAACTAGGTTAATTTACACCAGCTAAGTATCTGGTATATCCACAGTTCAAAGATAAAAGTCATTAACCCTCCAACATCAGGCAAATTGACCTGAAAATAATGCATCTGAAAATGCAGATACCTCTGGGTAGAGTTAAACCGCACTGTTTTCTGAAGCCACCTTAGCCTCTCCCAGCACAATCAAATTTTAATTAGCAGATACAGAGAGCTGATTTATGCTTTTCTTATTCATTGGGGTCTTATTCCACAGCTAGCATAGCTCCTTCAGATTCTGTTAGTATGTTGTGAAAGAGTTAACAATTTCAACCTGTTTTCTGCTGGAATGAAGAAACTGGTTCCTCTGTTCCTGCTTTCTATTCTCTTGTTGGCCTACTTCCCTGTGCTTGCATTTTGCATTCCTAATGCCATGAATAAATCAGGACCAAGGATTTAGAAGGTGGTACAGCTGTAGTCACTCAGAAAATTGAACCTCTGAGGCTTGGACTACAGCTCTAACAACTGCCAATATGTGTGCTCGTGATGTCTTCTAATAGCATCTAACTGGTACCAAAGGAAAATAATTAGTGCTCACTTCAGTACCCTTTATCAATAGAATTTAGGCTCTACCACTGACTCTAACCATCATCTCCTTTCTCAGCTCCCTTTTGTCCCTGAATTAAAGCTCAGTTCCAAACCCCAGTCCTGGACAGTCACCTCCCAGGCTCTGACAAAATGATGTATGGCTAATCTTTGCGCGCACGGTGAGAGGGAAGAAGAGAGACTGTTAATTATACAGTCAGACCCACCTGGTCAAGAGTTTCATTTCCACCAGGAAACCTTTCACACAGCAAAGCCATGGTCTGTCACTAATAAAAAATACTTGAGAAGGCTGGTTAATACGGTGCAGCAGCTTCTGAGAGGGAGGTGTGGCAGGTTTTCTTTTTTCAGCCATGGAAAACACCTGTTACAGCTTCCAGGTAATGTGCGGATTTGTAGCCAGTTATACTTGTTGAAGTATGTAATTTCTGTGCACTTCACTGAAGCTACTTAGTGTTCCAAAGTTAAGCACAGAAGTAACTATAGGGTTGGGGTCAAAACAGAACCGGGACTCAAGACACGATTCAGACTTCCTGTGACTAAACTTAATTTCTCTGTGCCTGGTTTTTATTTCTAAATTTGGAGTAGTGATTTCCAGCCTTGGTGGTGGTGGTGCTTTCCTACTTTGTCAGTGAATTGAGTCTTAGTGGTTAACAATAGAGTTTGCAGTGATGCAAAAGTGACTCAGAAGACTAAGTCCCATTTCCAGAAGTGTCTTTGTTCACTTACATGCCTAAGTACAAATGGCAGTCAATGGATTTAAATTCCAAAGGTATGTAGGTTCTTTTGAAAACATGACTCTCCCATTAGGAATTGTGTATGTGCAGAGTTAGAATTTTCTTTGTCTTGTTTTTAGCACATGAACTGTTCTTGCTCAGTTTCAACAGTAAGGTTTCTAGCGGGCCTTGGATGTGATCTCTCCTAAGAAAAGTTTGATCTCTGGAAATGTGCTGGTGGCCCTCTCTTGACTTTCTGGGTCTGCAACATTTCCATCATGGTTCACTGTATACAGATCACTGAGCAGTTTCCTTTTTCCTAGGGCACCTCTGTTCTGTGTCTAAGTGAATTTTCAGCAGCTCCTGTGTGAGCACTCTCCTCCTCTTCCTTGTACAAAGCCCAGTGAATAAGGAGGGGGATGGAGAGATGCAGCATAAACATGCTTGACAGCCTTTGAAGAACAAAAAGCTAGTGAAAGCCAGCTGTCACCCTCTCTCTCTCATTTCCACTCATTTCCCCTTGCTTTTATTTCCCTTTCTATCATTGTCTTTCTCTCCCTCTCCCCTGCTCCAGTTTTCTTTCCTTTTTATGACTCTGCCCCGCTTTTCCTGTTACATGCTTCTCCACCCCCACCCCATGCTCTTTGATGCACTCTGCTCTGAAACATTTTTCCCTCCTCTCTGTAGTCTTTTTAATTTCTGCTTATTCAGTCAGGGCCATTTCAGTTGTTACACAGGGGCAAGCACAAAGGGAGGCAGCTCTGTTCCTGAGCATGTGTCATCTGTCAGTTTGTATCTGTTTTGCCCAGGTAAAGTACCATTAGGAAAGGTTCAGGTACTTTTCTAAATGCATTAATGTAAAGTGTTGACAGGATAGAATCTGCTGCTTATGGGTGCTGGGGAGGGAGAGTAATTTATCTGACAGCACTTACTTAGATAAACTAAGTTCATTATGGTGTGGTGTCTGAGCAAGGAGTCAGATTCTTTTTGGTCCAAAGTCTGTCAGGACTGCCATTTTTAGTTTCCTTCCTTGCCCTGTAATAAGGGACTCTGGGCTCCTATTTACAAGCATGCCTGCCTATCTAATGCACTAAAACAGTGATGCTGGTTGAACTTATTAGGTAAGAGAAGTTAATCCTTCTTAGCTGCCTTTCTGAACATGTGCTGGGCCTAATTACTGATGTTTTTAGAAAGTGCACAGAGAGGGCACTCCCTATATATCTGAATTATATGGTTGCACCTTTCACCCTGAGCAGCTAGCCAGAATCAGTGTCTTTTTGGTTGGAATTAGGTTCTTTGATTTCCCCTGCACTCAAATCAGCAGGACTTTACATATTCTTGTAAATTAATAGATTCACATCCAACTGGGAGACTGGTGAGTCTAGAAGGGAGATTCCTTGCATTCTTCAATGGAAGGAGGCCTGGGAAAATTCCAGAGGATGATACCAAT